ACCCACCTCACTGTCCACTCATCCAACCCATGCTTTCTAAGCTTGCTAATGAGGATGTTATGAGAGACAGTATCAAAAGCCTTGCTGAAGTCAGGGTATACAACATCCAGTGCTCCCCCTTCATCTACCCACCTAGTCATGCCATCACAGAAGGCTGTCAGATTGGTCAGGCATGATTTCCCCTTGGTTAATCCATGTTGACAACTCCCAATAACCTCCTTCTCCTCCACGTGCTTATTGATAGCCCCCAGAATAAGTTGTTCCATCACCTTTCCAGGGATGGAGGTGAGGCTGACTGGCCTGTAGTTTCCTGGGTCCTCCTTCTTGCTCTTTTTGAAGACCGGAGTGACACTGGCTTTCCTCCAGTCCTCAGGCACCTCTCCTGTTCTCCATGACCTTTCAAAGATGATTGAGAGCAGCCTAGCAATAACACCTGCCAGCTCCCTGAGCGCTCATGGGTGCACCCCTCAGGGCCCATAGATATGTGTGTTATGCATGTCCTGCTTGGGAAAAGAACTTGGCATTTTGCTGGCGAGGCCTCCAGAAGCTTGCGCCTTCCCTCCCTGCTGGGCGTTTTTGTAGACATGATGCCCTCCGTTTGCTGCTAGAAAGGCACCATCACGCTGCTGTAAGGAAACAGGAGGTGGCATTTCACAGAGTTGTTGCTCGCCATAGGAGATCTCCGCGTGCCCTCCTGCGAGGCTGCTGCCAAGAAGTCGTGCCTTTTCCTGCTTTTTTCAAATGCACCTTTGGGCTCCCTGAGTTGAGGACAACTAAGCTGGCTCCCTGTCGAAACAGTGCTAGAGGAGGAGGTGTCATTAGGGAGGAACTCTCTTTTCAATTGGCAGGATGCGGACTGGAGACTGGGCGGGGAATCCTGACCTGTTTCTGCAGAGGCAGGGTGTCACCACATCTCAAAGAGTCTCCGCTTGGTGCTCTGTGAGCGAGCGATTGATGAAAGTCTGATCTGCCCACGCTTCCACGTCACGCATTTGAGCTACACTTGGTAGCTGCCATTGCCAGCCCTTAGGTCTCGTGACTTTGGGGAGCTGGGGACAGAGGACAAGTATGTCCTGGGAAGTCCTTGGTGACCTGGTTTCACGTGCCGTTGTGGAATGGCTCTGCCACCACGTCCTGGAAAGCTAACATCTCGGTTTCACTGTTTGAGTTGTGTAGGTGCTTTGTCTTGGTGAGCTGCTGGTCCTTGTTGCTGTGGCTCTTGTGCCAAAATAAATCCATTCAAAGTACACACCGAGCTGTCCTGACTTGGCTCTCTCTGATCTCTGCAGCTCCCGATCACCAGCATGTTCCGAACGGAGTGTGGGTCATTGTGGGTCTCCTCAACTTCATTGCCTATACGTTAGGTAAGACTTTATCTGGTTGATTGTGGGGGTTTGTGTCTGTCATCTGTCCATGCTGTGGCTGCATGTCATCTTATCTCCGAGCCTGTTGAGAAATCTTTGATTCTGGGCTTCTGCCATGCACCAATCCAACTGCCGCTCGGGCTGCCAGAGCAGTTTCTGGGAGCTGCTTTGTGAAGTGGATCGAAGGAAGTTGTCCCAGAGCAGCTGATGTTAAAGGAGGATGCTGGAACTCACTTTGAGATGAACTGTGAAATTCTGTCTTCAGTCTGCTTTAAGGAATTGTAATCTTGTCAGACTTTGTTGTATTTTTCAGTCGCAAGTAGAGCAGGGGGTGGGAGGCTCACTCCCTATTAGAAGATGGAGGTGGTGAAAGCTGCTGTTTGCTGGCTGCGCGCCCTTTGTCAGCTGCGTTCCTTTGCATGGGGGGTGTCCAGCAAAACTCCCCGTTTCTCTTCCTTCTCTTCCCAGATGGTGTTGATGGGAAACAGGCTCGCCGGACCAACTCCAGCACGCCCCTGGGAGAGCTCTTTGATCATGGCCTGGACAGCTGGGCATGCGTCTACTTTGTCGTGACAGTCTACTCCACCTTTGGACGGGGCTCCACGGGTGTCAGTGTCTTCGTTCTCTACCTCCTCTTATGGGTGGTCTTGTTTTCATTCATCCTCTCCCACTGGGAGAAGTATAACACAGGGATCCTCTTCCTGCCCTGGGGATATGACATCAGCCAGGTGGTGAGTACATGCCGCAGCCCCCGCTCGGCTTCAGCAGAAGCTCGATAAACTGTTAGCGTGCCTGGGGTGCGGTGGTGCCCGCTGAGGTGTGCGAGGGCTGCGTGCAGCTCTGCTACGTGTCCAAGGCCTTGCGAATCGGTCACTGCAACGCTCTCTGGAGGTGGGTGTCTTCAGCCTGTCTCCAGGCGTTGGAGGAGGAGGAGGAGAGCTTTCCAAGGCTGCCTGCATGGCTTTGAGCTATAATTGCTTTAATGAGCTGGGGTCATGTGGCACTAGAGTTTGACTGCTCAAAACCATTAAATCCAAGGAGATTGGTGTGGTTTTTTTATTTTGTTCTGAGTAGCTTTTGTAGGTGGACTGTCCACAAAAAATGAGGCTTGAAGAATGGATTTGTGCCTACCTGGTTTCTGCTGACCTGTGTGTTTTGGCCACCTAAATCATTGCTCTAATTAGTTTCCTGCATTATACCACTTATACCAATTTACCATTATACCAATGTGGGTACATTCAAGTCTAGAAGTTTGGGGTGCCTTTTGGCACTAGCAAGATGTGTGCCAAAACGTAGCAGAGTCGTCTCCTCTGGTAGTAAAAGGAGACGGTAGCCGGTCCCCTCTGACATGCTCTGACCCCTTTCCCCAAAAGCATTGCTTCACCCGAACGCTTTCACATCTCTGCCTGTTGCAGAAAGGTGGAGGGCTAAGCTACCCTGCAGCGTGCTTCACCCTGCTCCAGGGTTCCTATTACAACTGAAATATCCCTCGTTAGCTTTTTTCCCTGTGATTGCTTCAGCAGATGGATAAGAAAGAGTCCCCAAACAACCCTTCCGGACTTGGTTGCTGCAATTTGTAATATAAAACTTGTCTTGCTGTAATTCTTCAGGCATCTCGTGAGTTCGACCTGCACGAGGGCATCTTTGCTCGTGCTGCGAGGAGCAGCTCCTGGTCGTGTTCTTCTCGGCAGCCCGGCTACTGCGCTTATTGCACCTGGGCTTGTAACGTGGGATGTTTGTGGGTTTCTTTTTTTTTCCCCTTCCTGCTGGTGGGGAGAACTGAACGTGATGCAGCTTAAAGCGTGGCAGGCACGTTGCGCTGCTGGATCGGGCGCTGCCAGACTTGCCCGTCTGGTCACTCACGCCTGCTTCTCCTGTGCTTTCTTTCAGACCATTTCAATTGTCTACATAGTGACAGCCATTGTGGGAGTTGAGGCCTGGTATGCACCTTTCCTGTTTAATTTCTTATATAGAGACCTATTCACTGCAATGATTATTGGTAAGAAACTCCATGTTGAAGCCTGTCTTTTAAACTCCACCTTTTTACTGAAACCCAATGTCTTAATTATATGATAACGCTGTTCTGTTTGCTGTAATGAGAGCTCCCGTAGGCTGTTATTGAAGTGACTAATGGAGGGTGTTCTTGCAGCCTGCCCCTTCCCAGGATTTCAAAGTATTGTTGTCTTCTCCATAGTTACTTTGCAGAAGTTAACTCCAGTGTGCCTGGGTCTGTGCTGGCCAAAAAAGCAAGGAAGCAGAGCGCTGTGCTCGTGCCTCGGATATATTTTGTGCCAATCCTGCAGGGACAGACGCGCGCTGCTGCTCAGTGCCGCTCTGCGTAGTGGGCAGAGCGGCTGAGGGTTGTGGCTGCTGCTCGGGGCCGGTTGTGCCAGAGTGCAGATGGAGCATCGGCCCCTGGATGCGAAACAGGAGTCAGGAAAAGCGCGTCTCCTCCAAACGGCTGCGTTTGGGCTGTTCGCAGAGCACGCTTGCTTTGCTGCCTGGGGCTCCGTCTCGTCCCGCAGCACGGCCGGGGCAGGACCCAGATCCCAAACGCTGCCGGGGAGCCTGGGGCTGCTGCAGGAGGGAGGTCACAGCCACGGAGGTGGGGAAAAACACTGTGCTTTTTGGGGAATCCTGCCCTCCATCCATCCATCTAAAAATTAAATAAAAAATAAATAAAATGAAATAAAAGCCCAGCCTTTTTCTCCAGTGGTCAGTCAGAACAAGCCACTGCAAAGCGAGGAGGAACGCAGGAGAAGCTTAGCTGGGGAGAGCTGTCTTTGCTCAGTGCAATTCGGCTTATTCAGAAGTTCTCGCTCAGCTTAGTTTTTCTCAGTCTGTGTTCCTTTCTTTAAGCGTTAATTGTAACTACTTAATTTCAAGTCAATATGTCTTGAATTGTTATGTTAAATCTAATACTTGCGCTTTTCTTAATCAGGTGGATATTCCAAGCTTTCCTTTGGCAGCCATATAACTTAACATATGAATAATAATGCACTTTCCCATGTGAAAAAGAGCATGATGCCTACGTTGGCTGGATTTGCACACTTGGATAGGAGTTGGGTTATTAAAAGCAGGAATATTTACAGCTCTGTTAAAATAACTAGTGCTATATAAACACGGAAGGAGTTGGGACAGACTCTCATGGGTTTGAGTGTAGTGGATGGTGTTCCCTATTGAGGCGTAATTTTTCTCATAGTTATTTAGACTCTTTGTATCATTTGTCAAGTTAAATGACAAGAACTTTTTTGCACAATGGGAACTCAAAATGCTCGCTCACAGTGGGGGAAAGAGCAAATTGGCTGTATTATGAAGACTGAAAACTCCGTCGTGCGCAGCCACGTCGCTTGTGGAGTTTGAACTCTCCTTATGTCTCATTAAAGACAGTATTTTAATTAAACTTTGTAACTGTTTAAAGCATAATACTGGGCTCATTAATGCAACTTTTAAAAATTGAAATGTCTTTAATTTACAGCAGACCTTAACTTGTAATTACAACTCTCGGACCAGAATTACGAGTGCCTACTTTTAACCGTGCCGAGCTATTCTTGGTGCACCTCTGAGCTATTTTTGTTGCAAGCAACTTAAACCAGAGCACAACCACCTGCCCGTTTGTGGGGCGCACGTGATGGTCTCCCTCTCTCACGGGGCAGTAACGTGGCTCTTTCTCTTCCAGCTTGTGCGCTCACTGTGACGCTGCCGATGAGCCTGTATAACTTCTACAAGTAAGCTTCTCTGTCCTCAAGTCTCCCTCCCTGCACTAGCACCTTTGCAAGAGCCCCCCAAAACCTCTTGTTTCCTTAACTAGTTTTCAGGCGACTGTTATCAGTGTGCCAAAGTGGCTCTGACACACCAGAAGGTCCCAGTTTGCAGGGTGCACTGGGAGAAGTGGGCTGGCAGCCTGCTCAGCGGGGTCTTGCAGAAGGGTCCCCAGCTTTTCCAGGCTTGTCCTGTTGGTCACAGCGCAGAGAGCCGGATGACTGGGGGCTGCTGTAATTCAGGAGTTTGGGGGGTTTGGGTTAACTCTGACGGTGTGCATCTTCCTCCTCTGCCTGATACCAGTAGTTTTGAGTAGCAGAATGGGAAATGAGGTTTTGCAGCCCTCTCCTGAAGGCAGGGACCGAGTATTTCTCAGCTGTAGCTCCACGTATTTTCACTTTTCTGCTTGCGTTTCAGGGCCTATAAAAATAACACCTTGAAGCACCACTCTGCATATGAAATCATGCTGCCGCTGGTATCCCCAGTGTTGCTCTTCCTGCTCTGCACCACGTGGATCTTCATGTCCCCAACAGACATCCTGGAGGTCCATCCCAGGCTCTTCTATTTCATGGTTGGAACAGCCTTTGCTAACATTTCTGTAAGTAGCTTTTGCTTTCTGCTCCGGTTTATCCCCTGGGAAGCGTGAAGCGTGCCAGGACGCTTGGGAGGCAGGAAGAAAAAGACTAGTTCAAGTGTGAGGAGAAAATGGAGATGCGAAGATTAATGTAACAGCTTTTCTGTTTTGCTTTGATTGAAAGAACAAACAGGAAAGTAGACAGAGTTTGGGGTCTGCGAATTTTGTGCGGCAGCTCTCTTGAAAAATTAGAGAATTAGTTAAATTGAGTGTGTTTACACACGCATGCATCCTCTGCGTTGTGAACGTGCTAGTATGAAAGAAGTTCCTGCTTCCTTTTTTTGGGATAAATGTAAAATGCGGAGGACTAAAACTTTTGTCCGACTCCAATCTGCGTATTGCACCGGCGCTTGCTTGAGACCTTAACAAAGGTGCCTGTGCTGCCGCCTCAGGCGTGTGTCCGTGCCCTGGGTCTGGCAGCTCACGCTGCTGCTTGGCAGGATTTGCTGCTGATCGTGCAGATAACGCTGGTAAGGCTCAGTCAGCTCAGGGGAACTCCTTTTTCTTT